TTGGATCCCGTCATTCCCAAAACTTGACCTCTCGCTCTGTTGTTCCTCCCGCACCCCAACATGTTGTTTTTCACGTAAATGAGGACTAATGCTGTCATGATGCAATTTGATATAAATTGTACGATCTTCCGCACAGGGTACAGTCAGTCTGTTGCGTATTATTCCTTTCCTTGTTAGATGAGCATGTCATATTAAAACATGTTCATCATACTCAGTTTTTGAATCTGCATGAAAACAAATTCAAGAGGGGGAATGCTAAAAAAAATGTTGTTGAACAATGTGGGTTTCTAATCGAGCAACTCTTATACAGGGGGACATTACTGTCCACAATGTATAAGGAAACTAATGTGCATCGATGCCTGTGTTGCTCTGTAGTGCTGATCTCAATCTGCGTGTGTGCGCGCTCATCTCTCCTTGTACAGGAGTCCCCTGGCCCAGATGGAGGAGGAAAGGCGAGATCATGTGACTAAGATGAAGAAGATGGAGATGGAGATGGAGCAGGTGTTTGAGATGAAAGTCAAGGAAAAAGTGCAGAAGCTCAAAGACTCCGAAGCTGAGGTAAAACACATACACACACACACACACACACACACACGGTTTAATGAACTTCCTTCCTATTGGCTGTAAGAAGATTTTTTTATATTGATTTTTACGAGTGTGTTGTTGATACTGTATGTGTAAGTGAATGTTCTTTTCAGAAGTTCCTTCTTACGTTCCTTCTTGTTTTATGTATTTATATTTAGTAGGGCAATTCCCTCGTGTAACATGTAAATTGTAGGACCATTAACAACGGATCATGTCTGTAAATAAACATGCATTGGAACCATAGACTGTATATATACAACTCGGAGATAACAACGTTTATTTAAATCAGACTTTGACTATGCATTTTCCATTTTCTTTCCATTTGAAAGTCATAGGATACGAGTTCTTTAAGTGAGGTTGTATGAGGTACTTATCCATAGTCAGGGTATTACCTACAATCTCTTCAAGTGTGAGTGTTAATAACTAGCCCTTGAAAAATATTACAGAACAACATAGCTCTTGATTCAATAACAGTATAATCTCTTTAAAAACATAGTTGTCTGCATTCATCAAAGTGAAGCGGGAAAAAGCTTGTAGTTGATAGCACTTGTGCAGGTGCTTTAGGTATAAAATGCTGACATCCCTCCGTGTCTCTCTGCAGCTTCAGCGGCGTCATGAGCAGATGAAGAAGAACCTGGAGGCTCAGCACAGGGAGCTGGAGGACAAGAGACGCGTGTTCGAGGACGAGAGATCCAACTGGGAGGCCAATCAGCGCCTGGAGCAGCAGAAAATGGAGGCCTCCAGGTACGCCTGACACACTGTCACACTTTCCCTGGTTCAGCTATCTACTGTAACACAAACCAAAGCGGTTCAGCTATCATGTGGGAATGACATTCCAGTGCAGGTTTAATGGTGGACAGCAATGGATTAGTGCCACCTTGAGGCCAAGTGACATTTCTGCAGGATCAGAAATGAGTTCATTACCAAGAAGGTTTTCACATGCAAGAAACCTGCCTTGGTATTTTGGTGCATAGAATAATAATAATAATAATAATCTTTATTTGTATAGCACCTTTCATACAATAAGTGCAGTTCACAATTAACACAGCAAGAACAAATTTAAATATTACTGCAACGACAAAATTCAAGAATCATATATAAAAGAAAACTACAACAATTCTAATTGAATTATATCTGATCTATTTAATTATTTCCACAGCTCACAAAGTGATGTATGAATTTGCTGCAGGTGTTTCCAAGAGAGCTGACATTTTATTTTTTTAGAATAGTGACTTATTATACAGTGTGTCTCTCTTCTGTTCTGCAGGACTCTGGAGAAAAACAAAAAGAAAGGCAAGATCTTTTAAAGACGGCAGGACCACCCCAACCCGAGTTATTTTGTTTGCCAACGTTGCCGGTCAGGACACCAGAGTGTGGCACTGACTCCCCCCTCCTCCTCTTCTCTCTCCCTCTCTGCCCCCCTTGTCCCCTGTCCCTGCTCTGTCTGCCAGCCCAGCTGTGCTCCTGCTCCCAGCCACTAGAGGGGGTATTGGGGGAACCCTGGGTATGTGAGGAGGTGGGGGGGGGGGTGGTGTCTGAATGTACGCTCAGAACCGCCACCACAGAGCCCCCTCTGCCTCGGGACTCATCAAAGAGTAACAAAAACATCCCCATTTCAGAACGGCCAAACCCATATTATTTTAATTATTATTATTGATGTTATTATTGTTGTTGTTATAACTGAATACTGTCCCTGCCCCTACCTGCTGCTCTCTTTTATTTCCACCCCAAGGTTGCTTTAAATGACTGATGTGTACATTTTGATGGAGAGCACAGACAAACAAAAATACGTATGAATCCTGTCTGACTGTTGTACAATCAAGTTCTGGTGAATTTATTCGTTTACAGGAAAAACTTAAGTAACAGTATTTGAATATTACCCTGCTCTTCCTTCGCGTATTAAGGGAGGAGGAGGACAAGGCATTAACTAATCCTTTTTTATTTTGAGTGTATCTGATAACCCTTTAACCCAGTCAATGCAACAGAAATGAAATGGTGTCAACAGAAACAACCTAAATTCAAGAAAAACAATAAAACGTTCCTTGGGCTTTTTTTTATAGATTGACAAAAATGGCTGAAGCTACTTTGTTTTGAAATGTAACGCTTTGTTTTTCCTCTATGTTTAGCTATTTCCACTAGCCTTGGACCACCATTTATAATGTCATAAGTGTTATATTTCATTTTAGTTTATTTTTATATATACCGAGCCAGCTGAAGACATAACATCTTTTGTATGTTTAGAAAATCCCTCAGAGACTTGAGAGCTGCGTCGACTGTTTAACAGAGTCATGCTTTCACAAAAAGTGATCCATGGACGCTTTTACAAGAACAATATGTCAATCACTCAGCGGTATCGATCTGTGGGAAATGAAGAGTCAACACCGCAAATTTGCTTTGGCTATGTACTCCATCTCTGTATTTTTAATTTTATTTTTCATTTGTATTGTACAAAGTCACTTAATAAACCTGTGATGACGATGAAGAGTGATATGGGTTTATTATGAAAACTGTTTGTGAGGTGATCACACTTTTTTTGTTAAAATAATACTGTTTACTGATGCATTTAACACTCAATTTTATTTCAACACTAGATGGCACCGCCTAAAGGTGAATTATTTTAATGGAACAATGACAAACTGAACTTACAATATAAATAATGTCAGACTAAATTAAAGTAGGAAAACAAAGCAGATCTTCAATCTTCTGTGCAGCTCAGTGGGCTCCTGCAGGGGTGAGATCAGCTGTTAAAGGCAGATTTCCACTGACATTTTCCTTCAGCTTGTTTAATATGCGGCTTTCACACCTTGATCCTCAAAGCTCCTTTTACCCATCAGACCCACAAAGGTTTGGAATGTATGTCCTGGCAATGAAAACATCCGATTAAACAACTGCAGTGTTGCTTTAGAATTGTAAACACATCTACAAAGAACAATGTATTGACTAAGCACTTTTAACTAATACTCACGTTTACGTGTTTTCTGTGTTTTTTTCTGTTTGAGGAGAGGAAAACAAATCAGACTTGATAATATAAATACAGTAGATATACATCCATTCTAATTCCTATACCGGAGTTTTTCTTCCCCAGGAGATATTGGCGTGTTCCTGGATTTCTTCTCGATAATATGGCTCGAATATCTTCAGAGTTTGGACATTTGTTCTTGTATAGAGACATACATAATGCAAAAAACAATATTAAATTCTGCTTGATTATATTAATGTCTGCATATCAATAATATTAGATTTTATACTTCAAAGACAAAAGACAATCATTATTAGTATTCAAATTGTATGTGATGCAGTGGTTACTTTTCCATACATCTTTTTGGTAAACGCTGGAATAGAAATGTGTTTGTCAAATACGTTGTATAAATCTTACCTCTTCGATGTCTTCTTTCCAGTTGTCAACATCCATTTCTTGACAGAAAACATTTGTAAGGAGCAGCACACACACTACAACAAGTTTAACTAGCTCCATCGTATCAGTCCGTGCGTCATTTCAATGAAATTCGTCTGCGTAAAAACCAAAAAATTGGATTTACAGATAATATTTGATACGTGTGTTCAGGTAGTCTGCACCTCGATGCTGGATTGTTTCTGAATCCTCATCCGCGGTGATGCGCCATTGTGCCACGGGACTTTTACGCACAGCTGGAGTGGATGATGTGGGTCGACTCCGCCAATTATTCTGAGTCACATGCTTCATTTTGAATCATATCTTTGATTGTACTTAACTTTTGTTTGCCTGATGGCCCCTCTCAGAGTGTCATATAGCGTGTTAGATAGTATTGCATTATGCATATTACACAGTGTGAAAAGCATTTTTAATGTAGCTGGTCGAAAAGAAAATGACTGCTTTACACTGATGGGTATTTAAATGTAAAAATCACACTAGCGTAATATTTCATTCATTATATATATTATATATGCAAGTTTAGCCATCATTTCAACAGTTTAGTTTCATTTTCAACAGCAGTCCCTGATTTAAGAAGTAACCTATAGCCTATCCTACTTTAGAAGAAAAAAAGAAATATAAATATATCGGATATATGTCGAATGTATCGTTTTATGAGAATGGAGTAATGGCAGTTGTTATAATTTCATTATGATGCCTAAATGTTTTTGTGGTGTACGGTCACATGATGAATTCGACATTAAAGTGATAAAGGCTACACAATATTGCAGAACAAGGATATTTTACAACATAGTTGTATTTATATGAATACATTAGCCGATAGAGATTTGCTTAGACTATTTAACCTCATATGTTTGCTCAAGGCATTAAGGGCCCCTGTGAAGTTGATCCGAAATGTGAATAATCCGGATAAATTTGGCGACCAATTGAGATCGCGTTTTCGAGTTTTTTAAGGCCGCGTGTCCCCGTTGGGCCACCGTAGACAGCAGCACGGCCCGCCTCCAACTCAAAAGTCAGTCAGAGTGGATGATAATATTAGGAAGTCCGTCAAGCCATGATCAGAAAGAGTCTAACAGCATTCTGACCTTTGACACATATACAATCTGTTAAAAAAGGTATGTTTGGCTCATAGACTATTGAGTTCACAGCCACTCGGCGTGAGCAGAACATGGTTTTGTTGCGTCCAAAGCCCTCAATGTTGTGGCTCGTTGCTGTTGTTCTGACAGCACATGTGAGTGAAGCTGCAGGGAAACCGAAACTGATCGAGGATGGGGCGGCCTGTGAGTCCATGGACTCGGCGGCGCTCAGCCTCCGGTCCAGTAAAGCCTCTTCCCCGGACGGCCCGGAGCCAGGAGACCCCGCCGCCGCGTTCAGGGTCGCCACTCTGGACGGGGAGTTCTCCTACGAGCCCGGTGCTCAGCGGGGTCCTCTCATCATCCACGCCTTCTCCAACAAGTCTGCCTTCCTGGAGTGCCTGTGGAGCTCGGAGTCGTCCCTGAGCAGCCTGGTGGAGGAGCTCCCCGCCAGCAGCCAGGTGCTCTTCCTGTCGCTGGACGACTCCGCGGTCAGTGACGCTCTGTGGATGAGGGAGCAGCTGCAGAGGGTCGCCATGCGCAGGTGACCCGGGACAGACCTCTGCCCTAAGGCACAGTGATGTGGGGATGTTTTATATATCAAGGGTAAACTGTACAAGTGAACACATATACTAAAAAAATATATATGTCTGATTATTTGTGCAAAATAGGCAATATCATCCGTTGCAAACATTTCTGAAATATAATTCTTAACCAAAATTATGTTTTTCTTTGTTAAAATGAGTAAAAGGTTTTTACAGATGGAATTATGGATATCTCTATGTATAACTCAGAGAAGCATAACAAAAATGATGTCTATGTTTTAAGGAATACAAATATTTGTATATAAATCATACTGTTAAAGGTGGGGTAGGTAATTTTGGAGAAACCAGCTCGAGATCGCTAGAATTTGAAAATACACAGCCGGAAAAAATCTGCCACTTCCTTACAGAGCCCCTCCTCCAACACACACGAACGCGCACATGACCAATGAGGGCACGAGATAAGTTTGTGCACAGATGGAAGGCTGACAGGCAGGTAGGCCATCCAGTTATTTTAGCCGGGCCTGCTAAAATGATTGGTCGTGCTTTTTACAGTACTACGGCTTCCACAGATGACATTTTTTTATGGATTTTTTGTCAAAGCACTTAAGATATTCATTGCTATGGGGATGTTAAGAGCATTCCATGGAATATAACAAAAAGTGTATCTCGAGCCGGTTTCTCAAACTTACCTACCCCACCTTTAATATATGAACAAACCCCCACTGTTAACAGATTTAGAACATAGATATACAAATGGTGTGCTTGTTAAGGCTACTAAAGTGTATAATTCTGAGTATGATAAAAGTCTTAGATTTTAAAATTCCACACATTTTGTGACACTAGAACGTGAAATAATATGTATTGCCATGATACAGCCTCAGTTGACGACTTCTATAAAGACTATTATTTTTTCAGTGTGTAGTTTATCACAAATTTCAGTTAGCTCAACTCCAACATATTGGTAACCACTTTGACAAACCACGTTTAACATCCTGCCTGTTTCTGCAGCAAAAAGGAGGTTCTGTCCAGGCTGCACTTCTCTCCGGTGCCGGTCTTCGCTCTGGGGAACTGGATCCCCAATGTGCTTTACTACTGGCGCTGCATGGGGCGTGGCTGCGTCTTCTCCCAGGTCGTTTTCAAATCCAAAGGTAAGAGCATCATTGGGAGTGGGACTATCTTTCATTAGTGTAATGTATACATCAAGTAAAGACACTATCACTCTCATAATCTATCTACCTATAACTGCACTATACATGTGTTGCTTTTCCTCAAATCACTTAATACTGTCTTTACTTTGCCCACAATATGGTTGCTTTGTTTTCCTGTAAAATAGGATTTTCTTTTAAGGAAACATCCCTTAAAGTCTCACGGAAATATCCTGTAACACGAAAGAGGCGAGCAAGTTCCTATTTTTAAATCATTTTTAAGTTGTTGTTTTTTTCTTCTCACAGAGTGGCACATGCCTATAATCATCAAGAGACTTGATGCCCGGTACGATTGGCTCTCAGTGCGCTGGGATCAGAGGACGTATCTGCTGACGGATGCAGGCGACGGGTGTGAACCTTCCCCCTCGGTGGAGGGTGCTCTGGCCTGGGTGTCTGAGGGCGGCTGCTCCTTCTTCACTAAGGTCTGATGGTTTCAGCACATCTATTTAACACATCTGTCTTGTGTTTAATCACATCTACTTTACCATAAAACATAAAAACCTTCACTCCTTCCATCCGTCTGAGAAGTGACTCTGTACTGAAATCACAGTCATACTCCTATTCGCCAGATAAAACAAGAGGAAAAATAACAGGAAGTCTGCAAAGATACCTTAGCCGCGTTCACACCGGAGTACTTTCACCGTACTTTTCGCGTTTTAGTTCCGTGAGTACCCCTTATGTCGCGTTCACACCAAAAATCGTACTTAATCTCGGGTACTTTTACCCCCATTTTTAGAGCCAGCTCAGAGAGCGTACTTTTCTGTGGGTGAAAAGTGCTCCAAAAGTTCCCCAGTGCTGATTGGCTGGGCGAATTGCAAACCACGCCCGTACAACTCTGAAAATGTTGTGTGGAGACGCCATTGTTTTTCCTCGCTACAAAAACACAACGCTCCGTGCGTTGTGTTTGTTTTTGAAAGCAGTTATGGCAAGCATCAAGAAATGATGAGGAGGTGTCGGCGCTTCTGGAGATCTACGCCGAGGAGGCGACCCAGGGAATGCTACTGAAGCCAGTTCGGTAGCTTTCACTCGACCTGGGAATTGTGCACAGCCGGCTAAATATAAAGAAACTCAGGACTACAAACGGCGGATTCAGTGGCCAACGATGACTACCACGATGAAGGTAAAATCAACTACATGCACTGGGGTTTTAATCTGCACAATAATGGTCTCAGATGTACTTTTATTTGCTCAGTAGATCAAGCTAGCCATGCTAGCCATAATAGGCTAACACCGGCCCCGGCTAGCTACATCTAGCTAGCTAGATATTCTCCGCTGTATGAAAACGTTTTGACTTGTGAATAACTGTGCAGTGTTTCTGTAATTTGCTTCACTAACTCATGGCACTAATCGTCTGTTTCAGGCGAGGATGGACAACTCTCGGGATTGGAAACAAGTGAGCTTTGCATTCTAGATCACAGCGCTTTGTCGTCCTCCTTACCAGCAACCAAACGCAAAGGTACACACACTGTAACTTTGTCTTGAAAGAACGTTACGCATCGAACTGATGTTCACAATCATGTTTATTTCATAATATTCATCATATTTTATGTTTAACTTGCCTCATAAAATAAAAAAAAGGGAGATTTCAGTGCTTTTTTTACATGTAGACCACATTAGACCAGGTCCTGATCTAAAACCACTATACCTAGACTCATCAAATCTGGACTGGATTATCCCAGAGAGTCAAAAGATTCTTTATAACACAGTTTCAGATTTGTGAAACCTTAATTCTATTTGTGAAAATACAAAAAACACATTCCTAGTATGTTGTAAAACTACATGGCGACTAAACTTGTATATTGTATATTGCTTATTTTCCCCTCTTAGGAAAGCGGACACGGGATGCGAATTTCTTTGACACCGCCCAGGCGTTGGAGGACCGGCGTGCCGTGGTGAATGAGTCGCTGCGTGGAGATCAGATGGTGCTGTTCACCAAGGCCCAGGAAACGGAGGACAAGATGCTCACCTCGATGGAGCGCCAGGCAGCAGATGGAGCGCCAGCAGCACCAGGATGAAGTGTGGGCGCTGCGCCATGAGGAAGCGTCGGCGCAGCGGCAGGATGAGCGACAAACTGCATTTAATAACAGTTTATTTGGTATAGTTTTTGTAAATACTGACACACGACACACAACGTTGCACTAAGGTGTGCATGCTGCTGGGAATATCCCTACACCTGGGACAGTTTATTTTATATTGTTATTACTGTTATGACTTTATTTTATATATAATGTTTACTGACATGTACAACTGACACTTTATTTACATTTAAAATTGTTCTATTTAATGTTATGTCTTGAGAGTGCAATAAAGAAAACCGACATGGCGATTAAGCTTATTTCTCCTGACACTTTATCTTTTGTGACCTGTGTAGCATCCTATACATCACATGTAAGTGATTATTCTGATACCATCATGTTTCATCGGTTATAAACTGGCAAAGCTTTATTTGTCATTTATTTATCATCAATGTTGCAACCTTGTGGGGGAATGGCAGGGGCACATACACAAATATGACAATTTATATAATTTTAAATATTATTTGACCTAAACTTTTAATTCCCCCCATTTCACACAACACAACATGGAGTCCACTATGGGCCAAAACTAACATGTATGTTTGCATAGTGTTTATGGCAGACGGATGCAGTGGGTCTCAGGAAGATATATAATAAAGGTGGGTTTGCTGCTGAGACTCCCTACAGCTGGGAGTTTATTTTATATTGTTATTACTGTTATTATATAGTACAACTGACACTTTATTTTATATTGACAATGTTTACTGACATGTACAACTGACACTTTAGTTACATTTAAAATATTTCTATTTAATGTTATGTCTTGAGAGTGCAATAAAGAAAACCGACATGGCGATTAAACAGATCCTGTATCAGTTTTTCTTCTTCTCTTGTTTTGTAGCGGGTTGCAAACAACTTTAAGGTGCTTACCGCCACCTACTGTACTTGTAATCTTCCCTCAGGGAAAAGTACTCCGGTGTGAACGCGATCTGTACTAAGTACCCTGGGGTTAAAAGCGCCAGGGCTCTTAGTGCCGGAACTAAGTACAGGAAAGTACTTGGTGTGAACGCGGCTCTTTTGCCCTTTTTTTGAGACTTGACTTGTGGGCTTTGGCTTAGGATATAGAGTATGGTCATCCTTTAATTGCATGGTTGGTGGTATGTAATTAACACTATTCAACCACCAAATATTTTACAAGTGTTGCAGCTTTTTCAATGTGATGTGAATTGCTGTTTTTTCTGCTGTTCTCTATCCCTGCATATTGAAAATCCTTGGATTAAATATTAGAGCTTTTTGGGCAAAACAAGCTTTTGAAGGAATATTCTTAACTTGGGGTAAATGGAATCTGCATTTCTCACAAACCTTTAATGAACTTAATCAATAGAATAATAAACAGAGTGAAGTGATAATAAAAATAGCTCTTTGTCTCAATCCTGCTGCTTTTCTGTATTTTTTGCCTCCAAACATGTTTTTGTAAACACACAGGAAGTATTGACCTTTATCTGATATGACTTCATTAACCCTGACCTTCCAGGTGCAGAGCATGACTAAATCCAACGCCTCCGGTGTCCTTGTCTACACTCTGCCCGGTAACCCGATCCAGGACATGAACTGTGTCGGGGATGAGTGCGACACGAAACTGGGCATCCCCGCTGCCATGGTGCATCTGGAGGTTTCCGTCGCCCAGGCGCTTCAGTAAGGCCAACTCACCTGGAGGATTAGACGCTTCCTCACTTTGATGATTAACAGCCTTGAACATAGATTAACTGAACACTTTAAAGGTTGAAGCAATTCATCTCTTAAATCTGTTTTACTTCCTCTTTAATTAATGAAGCTGCTGTCGCAACTTATACCAACGTTTCCAAAATAATTTATAAGCTTTTCAGGGGGAAAGTGTTATCTCCTAAAAATCATCTTTCCATATCTCTGGATTTGAATTATCTGCTGATTTAGGCTCATTGTAAATTGTTTGAAAGTTTGTACCATCATGTTTACATTTGACATCTTTTTTGAATTTGTCTTTTCTAGGTTTGGACAGCCGGTGTTTGTGTCCTTCCAATACACTCCGTCCCCAAACTTCTTCATCAGTATTGACCATCAGGGGCTGCTGGCTGAGATGGGCTGGTTCATTTACCCCTCATTCAGCTTCATCAACTGGCAGGCACAGTGGTAAGGACACAAATGAAGGTCTGAATGGATACATTTCATGTTTATATTCACGCAAATGATCAGAATAATGTATCTGCACTTCAGATGATGAGGGGATTCCCTGAGGGGAAAGTGTTGAGGGGCTTTTTGAATGTCTGTTCATAAAGAGCTTGAGAATCAGGCTGGTAAACTAGGAACGGAGATTATTATTATTAGAGATCATAAAGTAAAATTGTACAAAGTGCATACGGCAAATATGTTCAGTATTGTTTAGTACATTTTACTTTGAGTCTCTTGAAATAATCTCTAAATGTATAAATAATACACAATCTAATTATTCAAAATTCTATCATTTTTTCTATAAATCAATGTTTTTCAGAAATTGGAATGTGAGGTGTTTGGCTTCCATAGCAACATCTCTACATAATCATTGTAAGAGTTTCCATGTGCGAAAAGTACATTTTGACATTTATCTTTTTTTTCTCTCTTTCGAGGTTTGATTTTTATGCAGATCTTCAGACCAAACTTCAAAGTCCTGCAAAGATTATTTCAGTCTTTGACAAAGTCCTAATGCAGGGGGAGAAAGGAGCAGTGGCTACAGTCGACCTGCCGCTAGGTAACCCCAGCAATTCCCAATGCTATTCCTCAAGTTCTGGTGTCCAGTTGCACAGTGAAATTAGTAACAGAAGGGAAACTAGAAATGTGCAAAGAAACTTACAGTTTATTGCAGGTTTTACGCATTTGTCTGTGTAGCTGTTGTATGCGATGGCTATCAAATAGATTTAAGTCTAACTTTGATGATAAAATCAAATTTATGGGATACTTTTGTCCAAAGCATCGATTGGGGACCGTTCAAAACAACTGACCCTGTTCTGCGAAACAAAATGAGAGTGAAAAGTAAAAGGAATTAGGAGCATCAGTGTGAACAGTTATTGCAGCCCAAGGGGAACCTTAGCAATTTAATGACCCAAACATTTTTCCATTATGTCTTTCTGCAGCCATGTCAAATTTTGACAAGCTGGAGCTGGACGCGTCTCTGTCGTGTCCCGGCAGGAGAGACTCGTCCTGCGCTCACTGGGATCACACAGTGCAGCTGTTTGTCTGCTGCGATCCCCTCGGCCCGCACTGCAACATGGAGCTTGGTCGATGGATCACAGCCTTCCGCAGGCAAGATGCTGATAGAAAACAATCGGATGGCATGAATACAAAGATGATCATGACAATTACTATTCATATCTGTTAGAAAAATATCACTCGTCACCGGCTTGAGCTTCAATATCAGGATACATGTATTTATTATCCTTGCAAGAATGGAAGTAGTCATCACACACAGAGCTGCATGGGACAAATAGTTCCCAGAACAGTGTCCTTGACTTGCTTATATACAAGAGAGGGTGTTACACAGTCACAAGATGCAGGAATACCGGTTCAAAGCAGTATACAATGTTTAGTTTAGATTAGCTAAAGCCCACGTCAGAAATGATCATGCTTGTCATATGTCTATCTCCATAGAGGCTGAATCATCATGTTAATCGTTGTCACATAGCTATCATATTCCTAAAACAGTGTGTCCTGACGCTCTTCTAGGTAATCGTATATCCTGTTACGTACACAGCTACAGTTGGGCCTTTGTTATCATGATATTGGAAGAGTACATTCAGTATTTCCCCAACAATATCAATAATCTACAGCTTTTGTGGTTTGTTAAAACAAAAGAAAACATTTATTTAGCTTCATGGTATCACAACACACACAATAAGAATATATAAGGAACAGTTTGGAAACTACTCATTGATACTTTTCTTCCTTGGAGTTAAAGGAAAAGATTGATACCCCTAATAACAATAACAATCATCTGCTCTAGTTTACTTTTCTTTCAAATATGCGCATTTCCCAAAATGTCAAAGTATTCCTCTTAAATACCAGCCTGTTTTTTTCTGATATGTGTGATTTGATGGTTCTGTATTTTTAATTTTTCCAGAGGTACTGGGCGCTGGCTGACAGACGTGTCTCCTCTGATCCCCCTGCTGGACGGCAACAGGTGTACCCTCACCATGAAGACGGTGTGGTGGGCGATGCCGTGGATCGCCTCCCTCAACCTGAGGTTCAGTGTCGGCAACAAGACCGGTAGAAAGTGCCATAACACAGTGAACTTTTTAATTTGTGCTCAATCTGAGGAGTACAGAATTGTTTTTCTTACAGGCTGTGGTTAGTGCAAACGGTTAGAAAAAATTAGACCAGGTCAGATTTGGGCATTTCTACTGAAGGAAGCATTCGTTACTCATGATTTGTTTCAGGAACATCACAAATCCAAAAGATCCAATATCTTGGGCTAAAACTATGTGCATCTCGCACCCTCGTTGTCAGAACTAACACCAGCTATGTGTTTTTTTTAACACCAGCTCAGAGAAGATTTCATGCTCAGATCTCAACCCTCCCACTGTGACAATGGAGAGCTGCCCTCTGACATAAAATCATCACAGAGCACTTTCTATCCATTTTCTCTCTCTGCTGGATCTTTCAAAAGTAGAGCGCAGGAATCTCTCTGCAGGAAGGAACAGTCTGTTACTGGAAGATGTCTGGATAAAAGTGACACATTTAGTTCCTGGAAATACTTTGACTCAGCTTCCTTAAAAACAGAGTGCAGCCTGTCTGTTTAGGACACATGATGTTTTGACAGGAGTCTGTCTATTGGGCATGATTAGAAATTAGATAATTAGATTTGAGCTTATGAATTTATTTATTTTTAAATCAAATTTGATAAGATGCACATTTTATGCCCCAAAAAATATTTCAGCACTTTACTTGTTTTAACTGTTTACATCCCAAACAACAATTGTGTATTTACTGACTTTTGTTTTTGGACAGCATGAGTTATTAGTAACTTGGCAGATTCAGAGTAATACAAATGTTGTCAATAAATAAATCATCATCAAAATATATTAATTTTGATAAAGATAAGACTTTGATGATTCCTTTGTGAAATTCACAAGCTATCTATGCCAGCACAACGCCAACCAAAAAACCTTACCAAAATATACACCTACTCTTCTTTAAAGTATATTTGGATGCTTATTATTTAATCTTGAATAAAGGAATGTTACTTGTAAAAGAGTATTTCTTTACTCTGTGGTTTTGCTAGATCAATACTTTATCACCTCCTAGTATTTTGTAAACATTTTAATTAAATGCAAAGCATTTTGTGTTGCAGATTATCGTGTAGAGACACTCCGCCCATTCAGAGTAATGGCACTGTTCAATGGGGGAACCTTTGACAAAAACTACAACAAAAGATTTAAGCCAACCGAAGTCCACATCCCGGCATCAACCAAAAAGGTAACAGTTCTGATGCCGATCATTATTAACTATTGAAAGATTTCCTGTCCGTCAGCTGCTGTGTGTCTGTCCTCAGGTGGAGTTATACGCCATCATCACAGCTCACGGCTACGATGACAACCACTGTGGAGAATTTTGCATCACCTCCCACAACTTCTTGATCAACAATGTTTTTAACAACACTCTCATATTCGATTCTGCCGGTGAGGAATATTTTAAGGAACATTTACTGAAGGTAGTTGACAAACTATCCTACTTTTGAGTTCCATTTAAATTAATTTATTGTCCTTTTTCATATCTGTTTGGTGGGGAACCATTAGGATCACCTTTGGGCTGCACCCTGAGAGTGAAAGAGGGCGCGGTACCAAACGAGCACGGCACATGGCTGTACGGACGAGGAGGATGGTGTGATGGACTGCAGGTCGACCCCTGGAGGACGGATATCACCACACAGGTACGGCCCTTGATAAAAAAAAATGAACCGCTGATTCTGTATATATTTACTGAGTGTGTGTAACCTCATTGTTTCTGTCCTCTTTCAGCTGAACATGAGCGAGTTTAATTCAAACACGATTGTCTACTTTGGCTTGTTCGAAGGAAAGGATCCTAATCCATCTCAGGATCCTGGATACATCATCATGTCTTCTCTTCTTGTCTTTTACAAATAATGCCAATTTGGAAAACTTCAAATAATTAATGTAACACTGGATGTACGATCGAAGTCAAATATAGAAAGTATTTTTCTACGTTTTTTATTTACTGTATCCATTACTTTGACTCTGGTTTCATTAACTAGACATGGATTATCTAGAGGCTTTCAAATGATAAAAACAGCGCTCATGGAAAATATCACCTACCAAGCTCTCGCCCAGCATGGTCTTTCCATTTGCATTTTATCTCAAGACGTAACCCCAAGTCTCCACCAAGAAGCCTTGCAGCTGAGTAGTTCCTCCATGTGCTTGTTAAGTTTTAAGCTGAAGATGCATTGTTCTGAGAGCAGCAGCCTCTCCTCACTAATGACATGTAATCATGTCCAACTTGAAAGTTTGAGGTGATTTAAGTGTTTCTCAGTGAGTCATCTTCCTGCCCTTTTGTTCTTTTATTTTATTTTACGGTTCTGAACCGATTTGTGTAGCGAGGGTGGGCCAACTGCAGATATGTAATGTTTAAAAAGCAGGTTTATATCGGAAGAAAATGAATGAGAATCACATTTGAATTGGTGTTGTTTAATTTGATCATTTGCATTGAAAGACTGAATCGGAGATCATTTCAAATGTAATTTATTAGTTAGTAGCTCACAGTTTAAGTTGAGTTATCTATTAAAAAATATAGTGAATGTGGAAATATATAGAGAAATACATTTTGTGTGAGGATTAAATACATTTTTTCCCCAAAGTATTAGATTCTGTTTGAAGTGTAGTGAACTTCAGATCCAAACTAATGTGTTCAATGACAAATGATGCTATTCAGATTCAGTTTTCCAATGCAATTATTCAAGTTAAAAAATACAAACAAAATTATGTGATCAAATTCACATTGAAACATTTTCTGAGTTGCATGTCCAAATACAATCATGTATATAGGTATGCTTCATCTTGTGTTTATTTAGGTCCAGAACAACTAAAACGAAGATAAGTCTACCTTCAGTGCATGACATAAGTTTATTTGCTTAAGTTTTTTCATTAATGACATTTCACAGTATTAAAAACATAAACAAATACAATAAACTCACAACATTAAGTAAAAAATACATCATTGCAACATACAAAATGGTTACTTTTTCTAAATAGAAAGGTTAGTGGTTACAAAGTTTAATTTCAGCAGAACTGTTCCACAGTATGTAAGTAACATCACAGGCATTATTTTCTCTGCATTAGCTTAGTTTACAAAATGAATACACACATCTCTCAGGCCAAAAGGAAAAAACACATTTAAGAGTACTAATCGTACTGAAAAATGTAGAACTTCAATCAACATTTTGGGCTAATTAGGTTTAATGATGCATCATTTATAAAATAAATGGTGTTTATCTTCTAATCTCGATCAATGTCGAAGTACAGTAGCTACAAGAAGAATACTAAGGCGCTGACTTTGAAGTGATCCTCATGACGAAGGCAACTGTGGAGGAACAACAGAAGGTTTTATTTGTGACTGGAGATACATGGGGATGTTAGACTTTGGCGCAGGTTCCTCTGCAGCTCTTCTCAGTCTCAAACTGGTTTCTGTTTCCTGAACAGCCTCCGAACCAGAATTGAGCGCAGGAATTAGATATGGGGTCGTAGTACCACTTCACCACGTAGTCCCGGCACGGCCCTGGATCCAGCGCCTGGTTGCAGCCCTCAGCTAGACAACAAAAACAAGAAGCGGACATTTTAAGTAGACTTAAAAATTCTTTAGCCATGTAAAGTGTAGTGGGTTAGCAGGCAAACATTTTGACTAAATATTTATATACAAAGTCAAACTTGAAATTAGTTTTACAGGTATAATGTTTAGACAAATTAAACATTTTTCCAGATAGTTTTGCAAGAAGAAAAGTCTGCAAGCAATAGTTTTTGAGATATTTTACTTAAAACTACCACTTCCTTTACTGCCACAAATGTCAGAGGATCTCCAAGTCAGTATGATTCATCCTCTGGGGACCATTAGTGTCCGTGCAAATCAATCCACTTCGAGGAGATGCTGAGATTTTAGTCTGGGCCAAACCAAAAGATTGACTTCACCACATCTAGAGCCTCACTGCTAGCAAGGCTTATTTTTAAATGTGTGAGCGGTTACTACAGAAACATGTAAGTAATAGGGATGGGAATTTGAAGGCAAATGTATATTCGAATATTCGACCCCCCAAAAAATAGTTAACCGATTAACCGAAATGTACATATCCTATAAAAAAAATAAAAAATGTGGGAAACATTTTTACAAAATAAATAAATAAATACATGTTCAAATAAGTATAGAAACCAAGTCGAATTTGTCAAATGTATTGAACTGGTAATCACAGTTTGAACAGTTGACAGCTATAGGCCTTTCATGCTTAAAACATAACTTGGTTTTCTGATGGATTTGGATATAAACGCGAGTGAAGTATAACCTGACGCGCGAGAGAGAGAGACCAGCACCTGCAGCTCTGCCCACTGTGAGGGACCGGTGAGCGGAGCAAAACACACCTTTAGACCTAACACACTTAGCTATGGCACTGTCGTATACAATGAATTATTCCATTTGATAATATGTAATCAACTTATGCACCCCACCCAAAAGAAATTATTTAAAAAAAAAGAAGAAATTACAATAAAAATATTCATTTCTCATATTCGAATACCTGAATAATTTCAAATATTCGATTAATCGTTCCCATCCCTAGTAAGTAACACTTTTTAGATACAATTCAAAAATGGTAATTTTTGTTATTACAGATAATTTAGGTTTACCACTTTCATGTAGATATTTGACATGTTGACTTATATTTTCCAAGCTAAGATAACTAGCTCCCAACTGCAATACATACAGCTACATAATAACAAGCTTCTCATCTAACGTTTTGTGAGGATAAAAGGTTAAACTATTCCTTACATTTTTGCATACTTTTGTGTTTGAACCTTTCTTATTTCAGACGCTTGGACATTACCATTTTACGACTTGATTTGTAACATTTGAACCTATTATTTCTTCATTCTCTAATCTCTTCAGCAGTTACCAGGTATGTTGGTTTCAGAAAGCAGCAGTGGAGTAGTTGGAAGGATACTAGTAAACCGGGGCGGTGTCATCAGAGTTGGACCTGCCGGCCCGATAACTCCCGTCATCACCACACGTTTGGGGTCCTTCATGTCAAACTGTGGGAAGGACTCTGTGACGGGTCTGAAAGGATCCATGTCAAAGAATGGCCATCTATGAATCTCTGAGGAGCTTCTGTCGTCTGTCTTTGGTCTCTGTGGAGTGATGGGTTCTCTGTCGGGTTGTGGCGCTGGAAGGCCGGGCTGTAACAGTAACGTTTTAAACCTTTATTTATCCAGGTAAGATAATACAATCATGATGTTATAACACCTGAGACGGTTCCATTTACTATATGAAAACCCTGAGACGTACTTAGATGATTTACTGAAAAGTTACCAAATGAATCCTGAGGGGTTCATGAATGCCCAAACTAAAATTGTAATCATCCAATAGTTCTAGATACATTTAACTCAAACCACAATGTCCACCTCATAGAGCTAAAGGAAAAGTCAGAGAATCACTAAATTCATTAGGATTCATCTTCTGGGGACAATGAATTTAGGTAACAACTTTCTGCCTATTTCTGTCTGTTTAGTAAATATTTAGCTTTAATTAGATGAATAAAGATTTTGCTGCTTTTGGCACCAGAAGAAAAATAAAGGGATCACTAGAGTCATCAAGATGTATCCTCTGGGAACAATGAACGTCTTTATAAAACGTAATGACCGACTTCCTAATTGTGCCCATTGATACACTAAACTGTTGTTACACAGTAGATAACACATGTACTGATTTATTCTCCTCACCACTATCTGAACCCTCCTGAAGTCTCCTGTGAAGGTGGGCGTGTCAGTATCCGTCCTGTATGGAGGTTCACGAACATTATCGGATAAATCGGGAATTCCTGGAGACATTCTGGAACTCGGGACAGAGCTGAACAAATGTCTTTCTCCGTCGTCCTCACAGATCTGACTCAGCAGTTCCTTCTCCAGAGCTTTAGGATCAAAAGACCAAAAAAGTAAATATGAAGTCATTTACTCCTCTGTGTAGGTACTTACAGCCATAGAAGTCATTCTTATGAGCATCATATATGGTGTTAGTTTTCGCAGACTCAAGTCCAAGTTATTGAACAAAATGTGAACTATTTGTTCTAATTTTGAACCATCTGCAGTTTATTTTAATACCAGATGTATAGCACAGATGTTTCCTGCCCTCTTAGTTGAGAGGGAGCTGGAAGAGACAATTGAGTGAAATTCAACTCGTTTGAGCACTTTTCCACTTTTTAATTATTTTTTTAACAAATCACTTCTTAACAAATTCCTTGCATGTGTTCTTTGTAGACCTATGATTCTAATTTGATAACATGGATTGCTTACCATGAAGTGTTTTGAATTCATTGATCAGGTACACGTGGTTGCTGTCGGGGTCAGAGGCCATGAGATTGATCTCCTTTTTGAACTCCTCATACAGAGGGTCGCTCTCATTCACCAAGCCGATCACAAACATCTCGATGTCACTCCCATGAGCTTCTGATACCGCACTCTTCAGACTGACTTTGTCTCTTTTATCGGCCTGCCCGTCGGTGATGATGATGGCCATCTTCCTCACACCTGCCCGCGCACCCTTGAACACCTGGTTGGCCTGTTTAATGGCACTGCCTGTGAACGTCCCCTCGCCTAGGTAGGTCATGGAGCGCACCGCAGACTTGATCTCATCACGAGTGGCTTCCTGTCTGAGGCTGACCACCACCATGTTGATGTGGCTGTAGACGACAACACCCACCCGTGTGGTGTCCCGGCTGACAGAGGCTCGGTCGATTAGGGAGTTTACAAAGTCTTTGACCAGGTTGAAGTTGTCAGGGCCCACACTCTCAGAGCTGTCGATCACAAAAATCAGCTCCAAGGGGGTTTTGCGGCATGTAAGTCCACAACCTAATGAAACAGCGACAGGTTATAGACACGTGGACATAAAGGATGGACAAAAATGCAGCTTCTGATTACTTACTGCATATGGATCTCACGATTTTGATGATATCTTCCCTCTG